AAAAGTTTTTTTTTTTTTTTTTTTTTTTTTTTTTTTTTTTTTTTTTTTTCTTCGCCAAAAGTTGCGTTTGCACCTGTTCTTTGTTTTTAGTTTTCTGAACAATAAGCTAAATTTTTGCGCTCTGACACAAACTATATTAGTAAATTATATATCCATATATTATATATAAAATACATATAAAAAAGTTATATATAAACATATACAAATAATATAAAGAAATTAAATATATACAAATAAATATGATAACACGGAAAAAAACACAAACTGAATCTTTTTAGTCTCTGTGTAATAAGTTATTTGTCATAATTGTAACAAATAAATTTGCAATAATTGTAACAAATAAATAAACATAAAAACATCACTGATATATAAAAAAAAAAAAAAATTCATCTGTGATGACTAATTTAACACCAGCTCAATTAAAGCAAGTCGAGGACGCAATTAAAAAACTTATTCATGCTGAAACTGCGAAATGGTCGGCCAAAATATCTGAACTAGAACAAGTAATAAAGCAACAACAATTAATAATAGATAAGCTAATCCAAAATCCTAATGAGCTAACTAATACCACAACCAGTAGTATCGAATCCAGCTGGGTTACAGTTGCAAGCAAAAACATAAAAAAAAAGCAGCCTATTGAACAACTAAAAATTATCAACACATTTGCCATTGAGTAACAGCAAAAAAAGAAGCGTGAAAAAAATGTTATTATTTATGGCATTAAAGAATCTGCAAAGTTATCAGTTGCTGATAAGCATATCGACGATAAGGAAACGGTTCAGAATATCTTAGTTACTATTTCATCTGATGCAAAACCAAAATCTGTCAAACGTATTAAATCTACGTCCTCTAAACCAGGACCAATTATCGTCGAACTTTCTGATGTCTCCGAAAGAAACCCATTATTAACAGCAGCAAAAAAATTGAAAAATTCAGATAATTATAAAAATATTTTTATAAGCCCAGATTTGACTGAGGCTGAAAGATATTTAAACTATCAGTTAAGAATGAAGCGTAATGAATTAAATAGTAATATCAATTTAAAAACATCGCCCTTTAGATACGGTGTACGAAGCAGCGGAGTCGTCAAACTCAAAAATATACAAACCACTACATAAACATTACTACCCTTCTTCCACTCTTTTACCAGCAAACTTAAAATACAAAAGTAAAAATCTTCATAACAAAAAAACAAACTATAGCGTTAATAGCGTTAATTGTTATTATACTAATGCTACATCTCTCGATAATAAAATGGCCGATTTAATTTCAATATCTAGAACGTTTGATTATCACGTTATTGCTATCTCTGAAACATGGTTTCAAAATGACTCAGTACCTAATATCGATGGGTATAGCCTATATCGTAAAGATCGTCAAGACGGACGTCGAGGTGGCGGTGTAGCTATCTACATTACAGACGTATTTAACTCTCATGAAGTTAACCAATTTTATACAAATCTTCTCGAACAAGTCTGGGTATCTGTAAAATTTAACAACAAACATATACTTATCGGTTGTATATACAGACCAAATGATGCCAGTTTAATAAAATATGTCGCTGAATCCTTCAAATTAGCTCATAGTTTAATTAAAAAGCCCTATGATGACTGTTTGATTGTCGGTGACTTTAACTTCCCGAATATAAAGTGGTCTAACGATGGTATTGAATCTTTTAACCCAAACAATCCTACCGAGTATGATTTCTGGAATATTTTCCAAAACAGCCTTTTTACTCAACATATCACATTTCCTACTTTCCAGACTGATTATGGTTCCTCAAATAATATGTTGGACTTGTTATTTACCTACAACAGTAATTCTATTTTAAACTTGTCTCCTAGTACTATACTAGGTAACACCACTAAGGGTTATTTTAGTATCACTTGGAGATTCTTAGTTTCAGAACTGTTTACCGAAAGTGAATCTCAATCGTTTAATTACAAAAAAGGTGATTACGATTCAATATCTAACTTTATTGCATCAATCGACTGGGAGTTTTTATTCCTGCATAAAACTGCAGATCAAATGTTCAATATACTAATTTCTAACTATCGCACTGCTTGCACATATTTTATTCCCAAGATTAATAAAACAAAAAAAAAGTATGATCCTTGGGTTACCCCACATATTAAAAACCTGATCCGAGAAAAAAAATCCGCTTGGCATATAAACTGCTCTACCAAATGGGAGAATAGTGAGCTTAAAATAAAATACAATCGCCTTAATCGTTCAGTAAAAACTGAAATATTTAAAGCAAAAAAAGCACATGAAAAAGAAATAATATCAAAATCCCAAAACAACCCAAAAATCGTTTACAAATATATCAACAAACAACTAAAAATTAAAGATAGAATTCGCTCTCTCAAAGATACTTCAGGCAGAATTATTGAAGCTCTTCCTGATATAGTTGATCTTCTGAACTCTCAATTTAAATCTATGTTTACACTTGAAAGCTCTGAAAATTTTCCTTTGCTAAATAAAAGCGGTATTCTTTCTGAATGCATTTATAATGAAAACTTGGATTTCTCTATCTCAGATATTATTCAGGAACTTGCCGATCTAAAGCCTTATAAATCCTTCGGATCTGACGGCTTGCATCCCTTAATACTCAAGATATGTGCCAAAAGCTTTGCAATTCCATTAACAAAAATCTTTCATAAATCCTTTAATTCTGGAGTAGTACCCACTCAATGGAAATTAGCAAATATTAGTCCGATCTATAAAAAAAAGGAAGATAAATTACTTGCTGAAAACTATAGACCTATTTCACTAACATCTGTTGCCTGTAAAATCTTTGAAAAACTTGTAAAGAAAAAAATTTTAAAGCACATTAACGATAATAAAATGCTCTCTGCAAATCAACATGGCTTCCTTTATCATAAATCATGCGTAACTAACCTAATAGAAACTTTTGATATCATTTCGTCCTCCATATCATCTCACCAATTTATTGATGTAATCTATCTTGACTTTGCCAAAGCGTTTGACTCTGTACCTCACAACAGACTTTTGTTAAAATTAAGATCTTTCGGAATAAACGGCAAACTCCTACAATGGATTAAATCTTTTTTAGTGGGCAGAAAGCAACGCGTTACAATTAACAATACCAGCTCTGCATGGGTTGATGTTCTCAGTGGTGTTCCTCAAGGTTCTGTTCTCGGCCCGCTCCTCTTCATTCTCTACACAAATGATCTCGCAAAACTCACTGAAACTTCTGAGATATTTGCCGATGATACTAAACTTTTTTCTAAAACCTTATCGCAATCTAATTTTGTTGATCTGCAGGATCGTCTACGCTTGGTATACGAGTGGTCAAACACTTGGTTACTTAAGCTAAACACTTCAAAATGCTGCGTCATTCATTACAGTCGAAACAACCCCCATTACAATTACTTTCTTCAAAATAACCAAGGAATCAACCAATCTCTAAGAAGCTCTACTAAAGAACGTGATTTAGGAGTCATTTTTACATCTAACCTCAAGTGGAGCACTCATATTCAAACAGTTGTCTCTAAGTCCTTACAAATTCTCGGTATGCTGAAAAAGACATTCACTTTCATTGATGAAAAAATGGCTCTCAAATTGTATAAAGTATTTATAAGACCACATCTTGAATATGGAGTGTCCATTTGGGCTCCTTTTTTAAAAGCTGATATGGCTTTGGTTGAATCTGTTCAACGCAAAGCTACAAAATGGGCTTACAGCTTGAGGCATCTTCAATACTGCGAAAGGCTAAAAAGATTAAACCTACCATCACTTGAGTTTCGACGCCTTCGATGCGATTTAATCCAAATTTTTAAATTAATACATCGTTTTGATATAGTTAATGATAAATATCTACCAAAATATATTAACTCCGTGTCTCGTGGTCACCATTCTAAAATAAGGCGTGAGTATGTTCTAAACTGTCTTCCAAGATATAATCATTTGTATAATAGATCAGCAAAATACTGGAACAATCTACCAGAGCAAATAACTTTGTACTCCACTGTACTTTCTTTCAAAAATAGACTAGACTCCTGGTTGTGGAAAAAGTTTGGAACAAATATTTATAAAACTGGTTGTTTATAGTGGGGTGTTTCCCCTGCTCGCTGTATGTGTACATTCTATGTAAATTTACGGCTACAACTATAATAATAATAATAATAATAAAAATAAAAAAAAAAAAACAAAAAAAAACTGAAACAATAACAAGTTGAACATTCCTTTTCTAAGATCGTCAAGCCAATAATGACATAGGGGCTGTTCAAATAATACGTGACAATCTTAGGTGGGGAGGAAAAGTGTCACTAAATGTCAAAAACTTTAGAAAGTGTCACTAAATGTCGCATGGGGGAGGAGGTGGTTTGCCTCAGTGTGACGTGACAAAAAACATTTTAAATTAAATTGTTTATCACTGCGTAAATAAATTAGTTTATATTGCAAACTCGGAGGTATTTATATATAATACTGATTTCGAGAAAAATTATATGCAATGACTTCACAAATATCGAGCGTTTTTTTGTTCAACTTTCATTTAACAAAAATTTTTGTTTTTGTTAATGATTGGAGTTGATTAATTTATATTTACTCCATACAAAATTATTTTTGTGGAAATTGTACACATAAAAAAAAATTCTAATCCTACGATCATAGAACTAGATAGTGGGCAAATATTTAAAAACGATTTATATTACTATCAAAAATCATACTTTATTTTTTTAACACTATTTATATTAATAGACTAAAAAGTTAAGTGTTATTTTTGCTTAAAATTAGGTCTTCAAATATAATACATAATCGATATTATTCTATTTTCAATGTTATTATTAGTATTACTTTTAATATTTTGTGTCAATCTGTTGCAAATAATTGGTCTAATTACTTAATTATTTTATTATTACGTTATTATTTTATATTTATATTTTTATTATTCATTAAGTTAGTTAACATTAATTCACAATGTGCTTGTTTTTAATTAATGGTTGTTAGGAAAATAAATTTATTGTCATTGTTGTTATAGAATAAAAATGTCTAATGAAAAGAAACAACTTTGCAAATCTGTTTATGAAAAATGTTTAAAAGCATTTGCAAACAAACCAAAGCAAAAGTCTCAAGAAAAAACAAATAAAATCTGGTCTGAGATCAAAACGAAGAACAAAACATTACTTGATATAAATGTAGAAGTTGAAAAAAAACTGAAAGAATAAAGCAAATTGAACTTCGAAATAAGGTTGGTCTTTTTATCTTACTGGACAAAATTACAAAACTATACACCAAAAAAGCTTGTGATTGAATCTAAAATCACTTTTGATGACTTGGCTGATGCAACCCCATTAATTACAAATAATTAAACAGTGAAAAAGGCTTACAAGAAAACTTACAAGAAAACTCCAATTCGTTAAAAGTTTTAAAAAGACCTGCACCAAAACAAGGTCAGTTAAAGAATAAAATTTTTGTTTTACAAAAAGATATTGCATATTTTATTTTACGACTACTCATTCCCGAGCATTCAAAGTTCCTTACCAAAAATAATTTATACCAATTGTAGTCCAATTTGGGAACAAATTAAGGACATGTTTCTTGAACAAAAACATGTCAATTGTATTTTTTTTTATATGAACTGTTACAATTAAATAGAGACTTGTAAAAATTCCAAACTTTTGTCTTTGTCACGTCACACAGGGGTGGGGGTGGGGGAGTTTTTTAAAATGCCACAAAATGTCACATAGGGGAGGAAGTCTCGAAAAATGCCTAAAAAAGTGTCACGTGTTATTTGAACAGCCCCAAACCTCTAATTGTTGGGTAGGTTTAACAGTAGCAATCATTAAAACTTCAGAAAAAGTTAAGAGCTACGTCGTTCATCGTAGTTTTTGCTTCAATTTGCTCTTAAACTCATTAAGCATAGCAATTATTTTAAGTTCATTAGTTAATATTTTATTCCAAAATTGTGGCCTTTAATAAAAATCATTGACCTGTGTAAATTGAAAATATCTGTCGTAATTATATTGTAGAACAAAAAGTATGATTTTGATGTTATTCTAATAAGCACATCTATTTGAGCAAATTTTTTCTTTAAAGGTTGTTTTAATTTATTTCTTATTATTTTTAATTAAAAATAACAAGATAGTTTTCTGTAGTTCAAAACATTATCTAGTTGTTTTGTACTGTATTGGATAGTTTTTACGTTTGTTTTTTTTAATTTTTTGATATTAACTATATTAACTCTTGCTTACCTTTTTTACACATGCATTAATTTTTTTGTGAATTAATTTTTTTTTTTTTTTTTGTAATTATTTTATTTCAGAAATTTGTCGGCATGTTAGCGGTTAACATAAATAAATGAACTTTAAAACTATTTATTGTTTTGAATTCTACATCCCGCTAAACTATAGTTTAGCAATTTACAATTACTTTAATTTACAATTACTTTAATTAATTGGGTATACTATTACTATAATTGTATAGCCATAAATATACTACAATTGTATACCCAAAATAACAGAAACATATTTTAAAAACATCTAAACGCACCTTGATATAGGTGAGATTGGGGCTAGTCGCCTTTGTTCTGACTCTTAAGCTCTGTAGCCCAAATATTTTAAAAAATATTGTAAATATTAAAGAGTAGTCTTATAGAAAAAGTAATATTTTAAACAAGGTAACATTTTAAACATGCATTTGTTTTAAAACAGTTTTTATCAGTTAAATTTTTTTTTTATTATTTTTATTAAAAATTAACTTTATAAAGGTGGCACACAACTGAAAAAAAGCAAGTTTTTTGAAAAAAATCAATTTTTAGATTTTTGGGTATTTTGATTCTATAACCATTCCTTGAACATATAAAATAAAAATTAGTCTCAAAAATGATATAAAAGTTGATTTAATATCATTTTAGTAGATGACACTTGAAAATAAGTTCCCTAACAACGCCTTAGCAACCATCAGTCATAGGAGTTTTTCTGAATCCAAAACAGTAAAACATCATCACAAACTTGGTTTTAATTTGTTATACGCAGATTATACGTAGACTTTATTAGTAGAATTATGACTTTTAAAACGGAAAACTAACAAGTAGTTTTCCGTTTTAAAAGTCATAATTCAAAATTTTATTCAAGAACAATAGTGTTTTTAATCTGTTAATGTTAGTCTTTTATACTGTAACTTTTCTCTCATTTTATACCAAATAATTTAAAAAGTGATTTCAATTTAGTTGGAATAAAGTTATTTTTAAATGAATAAACAAGGAAATAAAACTAAAAAAAATTTATCAAGAAGGATAAAACGAAAATGGAATGGTGTTGTTGGAAATAAAAAATCATCTTCTTCTTACATCTTATCATCGACGATGACATCGTCCACAACTCAAGCAGCAAGTAGCTGTTCTAGTGAAAGGAAAATCAAACTCAACTTCTTGAATACATTTGATTCTGAAAAAGATAACTATTTTGCTTTTATTAATTTTTCAATTCTTAAAGAACTTATAGCTAAAACTGCATGCAACAACTGCTTTCAGCCATTACTTTTAACAGATGTTGATTCCAGTAGAAAAGGATTTGCACATTTGTTTCAATTAAAATGTGAACACTGTGATTATGTTAAAAGATTCAATTCATCAAACAAATCAATAAATGCTAAATTTGATGCAGTAACAGCTAACTCACCATATGATGTTAATATTCGTGGAATAATACCTTTTCGAGAAGTAGGCTGTGGTTATGGAGCTATAAAAACATTTTCATCTTGCATGAACTTAAAATGTATATCTGAAAATAGATTTCAAAAATTAAACAAAACTATTATGGTAGCTTATAAAAGTGCTTCAGAGAAAAGTATGTTATTAGCAATTAAGGACTCTAAAAAAGTTGACACTGCTCAGGATATACCATGTGTAAGAGTTTCAATTGATGGTACATGGCAGAAACGCGATCACAATTAATTGCACGGTGTAGTTACTGCGATTTCTGGTGATAAATGCATTGATATTGAAGTTTTTTCTAAGTATTGCATGGGCTGTAAAATGTGGAACAGTAAAAAAGGAACTCCAGAATATCAGTGTTCGATAATTGATCATCAATGTGAAATAAATCACAAATCTTCGTCTGTAAGTATGGAGTCTGCAGGAGCAGTAACAATTTTTTATTGCTCGGTTAAAAAAAATAATCTAATTTATAAAGAGTTTCTTGGTGATGGAGACACTTCTTCATTCAAAGATGTCAAAAACTCAAACCCTTACCAGGATTTTGACATCACTCCAATAAAACTTGAATGTGTAGGTCATGTGCAAAAAAGATTGGGTACACGAAATTTAGTCAAAGCACACAAAGGCACTAAAACACCTTTATCAGGTAGAGGTAACCTAACAGAAAAGTGTATAAATTCTATGCAAAACTATTATGGCATGGCTATTCGTCAAAATGTCAACAACTTGTATGCTATGAAAAAGGCAGTTTATGCTATTTTATTTCATTTTAGCAACTTTGAAAACCAGCAAATGCAACATCAGTTTTGCCCAAGAGGATTGACAAGTTAGTTCAAATATTGGGCTCTAAATAATACAAATTAAAAATCAAAATCATGTATACTTATCTGGATTAAGAATCTTATTTTACGAACCATCAAGGATCTTCAGGCTGATGATCTTCTAATTAAATGTTTGCATGGAACGACGCAAAATGCCAATGAAGCATTAAATTCTATTATATGGTCTCGCATACCGAAACACACATTTGTTAGTAAGTCTACAATTGAAATGGGAACATACTCAGCAGTGCTGCATTATAATGATGGTGCTAATGGTGTATCAGAAGTTTTAAATTACTTTGGCTTGAATGGAATTGTTACATTAGCTTCTTCAAGTAAAGTTGACAAAACCAGAATTCGACATATGAAGTCAAAGTCAACTGATAAAAGTAAAATGCAAAGAAAAAAAATAAGAGCAGTTAAAAAAGGTTTCATAGACGATCAGCAAATAAAAGAAACAACTGATAGTTACATCTCTGGTGGATTTTGATAATTTTTATGTTCTTATATATTTTTTTCTTAATTTTGCTTTTGTCTCAATATGTATTTTTTTAAACTTTGAAACACATTTTCAATCAATCACATTTTCAATCAAACACATTTTCAATCAAACAATCTCATTAACAAAACAGAATTACATAATAAAATTTTCAGGATTTGTTTATCATAATATAATACTTCATTTAACCCTCAGAATTTTTATAAAAACTTATAGAAGTATTGATGTTTATAGTGCTGGATTTATTGATATTTCATAAATATATATATATATATATATATATATATATATATATATATATATATATATATATATATATATATATATATATATATATATATATATATATATATATATATATATATATATTAGGGTGGTGCTTAAAACAACTTTTTTGAGAAAAACCTGCTGGTACCCCCCTAAATGTGTTTTATCTAATACAAAAACACTAGGTTTAAAATTTTTTTGAACAAAAAATATTTTTAGGGGTAGCTCAAGGCCCTCAAAAATTTGACGGGTCCCTAATATTTTGAAAAAAAAACTTTTTCTAAAGTATGTCAACCTGGTACTCAAAATAAGCAAAATTATATAAAAAATTTAAAATAATTAAAAAAATTAAAAATAATTAATAATTAAAAAAATTAAAAATAAAAAAATTAAAAATAGGCAAAATTATATAAAAAATTTAAAAATGAAAATAATTTTTTATAAAAATAATTTTTTCAGGTATAAATGCATAAAAACTATTGTTTTTAAGCTGAAAATAAAAAAAGTCAATATTTTCAGGTTTTTTGAGAATAATTTTTTTTAGGCATGTTTTTTATGTAAAATGATTATTATTTTTGAAGTTTTTATATAATATCGCTTCTTTTGAGTACCAGGTTGACATACTTTAAAAAAAGTTTTTTTTTCAAAATATTAGGGACCCGTCAAATTTTTGAGGGCCTTGAGCTACCCCTAAAAATAATTTTTGTTCATAAAAATTTTAAACCTAGTGTTTTTGTATTAGATAAAACACATTTAGGGGGTACCAGCAGGTTTTTCTCAAAAAAGTTGTTTTAAGTACCACCCTAATATATATATATATATATATATATATATATATATATATATATATATATATATATATATATATATATATATATATATATATATATATATATATATATATATATATATATATATATATATATATATATATATATATATATATATATATATATATATATATATTAGGTGATTTTGTTAGAAATGCAATATTTCATGAAATAATTTAAATCATAAAAATTCCCACGGTCAAGCAGGATGAAATATGATTAGGACGCTATGTTCAAAATTTTAGCTTCAGTTGTTAAGGCAAAATTAAGTTATAAAGTTTTGAAGATTTACAAAAACACATGTAAAAACACATGTTTTACAACACATTTTTGGCCATTATGGATAATAAAATTAATTAAAAAAAAAATTATTTGTTTTTTATTTTATTTTAATATAAATGAATTGTCATTAAAAATCGAAATTTTGATTATTTACAAAAAAACTTGTTTTCAGTTGTGTGCCACCTTAAAGAGTAGTCTTAAATAGAAAAAGTAATATTTTAAACAAGGTAACATTTTAAACATGCATTTGTTTTAAAACAGTTTTTATCAGTAAAAAAATTTTTTTAATTTTATTAAAAATTAACTTTATAAAAGTAACCTTTCGGTAGTAAATGCTATGAGCCAACTAGCCGAGTAATACATTTGTCAACTTTAAAAGCCTCTAAAAACCCTTTTTTCAACAAACAGTCTATAGTTCCTGAGAGACGGCAGCTTTTGAAAAAAAACCTGATTGAAAATACCAAACCAAATATGGCTAGAGTTTTTAAAATTATACTGTTATAATTATACTGTTCATACTAATTTCTTTGTATAGTAAAAACAAAGCAATGTTCTTAAGTTTTATTTTTGTCCAAAAAACGCATAAATCGCAACATCTCCCTTGCGCATGAGCGAATCTTAATAATACTACAGTGAATAAGTGAATGATAAAATGGTCAATTAGGAAGGGTTTTTTTAATTTTTGAAAATTTCTGATGAATACAATACTATAAAATAATCACTTAAAGGGATAAAATAATCACTAAGTCCTAAATGAATATACAACTTTTTTTTTTTTTCAAAAGTAATTGGCTACGAATAGTAGTAGTAGTAGTAGTAGTAGAAAAATTGCTGCAACAGGTTTCCCTGTATAACCTACGGTTTTGGCAGCCTTATCTACTTCATACACTAATTTTATTCATATCAATATATAAAAGTTTACAATAAGACATATAATATGAAGTATAAGTTTGTACTTTATTGTTTTTCCTTTTTTTTTTAGTTATAATCTCGATACTTATGCGGATTATTTGAAATTTCTGCATCAAGCTTAGCCTTGAAACTGTTAGCTGATGAAGCGCATACAACTTCTGACGGCAATGCATTCCAATCATTCACTATTCGATTAGTAAAAAGCTGGTGCTTTTGCTCGCAATTTTGAACATATTCTCTAGTTATTTTTAGATGATGTCCTCTAGTTTTTATTTTATCTAACTCCCCAACACGAAGGACATGGGGTTCATTCTATGAGACAATGTCTATATGGTTAATAATTTTATAGGCCTGTATCAGATCTCCCCTAATGCGACGGGTTTCTAAAGACGTTAAGTTTAGTATAATTAGACAATCTTTGAATGATATATGACGGTACGAAGGTATTAAACGGGTAACTCTTCTTTGTACTTTCTCGATTTTGTCAATATCTATTCTTGATGATGGATTACTGGCTGCTACCGCAAGTTCCAGATGAGGTTGTACAAAGGTTGTATATAGAATTTTAAGTAGTTGCGGAGTCATGTGACTAAAAGTACGATACAACATGCCTAATACACGCTTAGCTTTATTGGTTGCAAAAGTTTAGTGTCATCGGCATACATTTTACATGGATAGTTAACAATATCGGGTATATCGTTCACAAAAATGATAAAAAGTATTGGAACTAATACGGATCCTTGAGGGACGCCACTAAATACCTCAAGCCAAAAGGAAACATAATCGCCCATCACGATTCGTTGAAAACGCTGGTGTAAAAACAATTTTATCCACTTCAGGAGATATAGGAACCTTATCAAATGCTTTACTGAAATCTATAAAAGCTACGTCCATAGATATCTTGTCAGATAATGCTTTTGACATCATGTCAATCGACTCCAACAAATTAGTCACACAAGCTTTTTTATTGACAAAACCATGTTGATTTTTTTGAATTAAGATTCTGTTTTACTAAATGATTGACCATAGTGTCACGTAATATTTTCTCCATCACTTTACATACAAATGATGTTTAGGATATAGGCCGGTAATTGCCTGGGTCGAGTCTACTTCCGTTTTTAAACAGTGGTGTTACATTAGCTTTTTTCCATACTTCAGGACAACACCCACTATCTAGCGACTTCTGAAAAATTGGGCATAAAGGTATTGAGGAGCTATCAGAACAGTTCTTCAGTACATATGCGCTAACACCATCCAAACCAACAGTTTTATCAACTGATAAAACGATTCAATCGCTCAGCTTGTTTTTAACCAGATCTTGATTTATTTGCGAATATTTGCAGATGGCTTTAGTTTGTTTTATAAAATATGGCAGTTCATCGTCTTCATTTTAAAGATAATATAAAGAATATAAAGTAATTGGCTACGAATATGGCTAAAATTATGAACAATAACTTTGAAAAAACATTTAAATTTTTTGAAAGTAACTATTTTAGCTTAGACGATGAATCCGACTGAGATATAAATTATTATGAAATTAATTCTGAGTTTGAATGCTCTTATTTTTATACATCAAAAAAAAATTTAAAAGCTTTTTAAGTTAATAATAAGGGCCGACGACACCGGGGGGTCTACTGCACGTACGTCTACTGCAGGTTCCTCCACCCCCTTCCCTCCTACCTCCTTCTCTAATTTTTTTTTAAAAGTTTTTTTTTTTTTATAAGAAAGTTCTGCATATAGAAGACTTTTTTTAAGAATTGACGGTTGTACTCCCAGTCAGTTTAATTAATTTTGGTACTTTTTTTAAAAAAATAGATACTTATTTTTAAAAAGTTCGAAGTAATTTTCTTATAGAAACCGTTTAGATTCTCTTTTAAATTGTTCTAGCGAGAAATTTAGAAGAGTTTTATTTTTAATAACATTTTTCAAAAAACTTTTCCATATAAATGGTCCACGGTATTGAATTTGAAACAAACTGAGTTTTAAATAAGATCTTCGATCAGCAAAGTTATTAGTTAAATACTTGTAGGGTATTTATGAGTAATTTCGGTGAAATAAGAGTGAAATATATTAGGAGATAAACCATATGTTAAGTTTATAAACATTGAGTGTATTAAGCTCCATTAAAAGAGATTCACCATTAACAGTTCTGTTAACACCAAATTTAAAAAAATAATTAAAAAATTCTAGTTGCATGTTTTTGTTTGACATTGATTTTTTTAAGGTTTTCATAATTAGCACTTCCCCGTGCAATATTGCTATAGGAAAGATAACTATGAATAAATGAAAAATATATAATTCTTAAAGAATCAATGTTAAGAAATGGTTTAAGTTTATATAACATTGAGATATTTTTGGAGATTTTGTTTTCAATAGATTTAATATGATATTTCCATGATATATTTTCTTCAATAATCACTCCTAGAAATTTAACCGTTGACATTTTTAATAGCTGTTTTATTCATAAAGAGATTTATATTCATAAAGAGATCTCCTCTACTAAGTTTGTGGAATAAGATAAACTCAGTTTTCTCAACATTTAATGAAATTTTATTAATTGTAATCCAGTCATTTATTTTTAACAACTCTTTGTTTGATATTCTAAACAGATCTTTTGTATTATTATTTTAATAAAAAAGTTCGAGTCATAAGCAAATAAAACAACATTAAAAAATTTGGATACTAAATATAAATCATTTATATAGAGTAGGAATAATAGTGGGCCTAAGATTGATCCCTGGGGAACACCAAAAATAATAATATATTTTTCTGTTTCATTTGCTGAATATATTATGTATTATTTTCTGTTTGAAAGGTAACTTTTAAACTATAGTAAGTTATTGTTTAGTATCTATACAGTTCTAGTTTTTTTATAAGAATACCATTGTCTACAGTGTCAAATATTTTTGACAAATCAATAAAAACTCCTAATATTTAATAATCATTATTAAACCGATTGGATATATAATTTATTAGCTCGGCTAGCGTGTGATCCGTTGAACATTAGAAAACATTCTTTATAACATTAGACATAAGAGTGTTTCTGATAAAGATCAAGCGATTTCAACAATTGAAATTATTAAAAAAAATCTAAAATTATTTTTACTGAAATTACTGAACGCTTAAGCAATTTTTTAGAACATGACTTGATAGAAAAACAATATCTATAATAAATAAACCGACAAGAAAATCATCTTCCTTAATAGATAATAGATATTTTTAACAAGGTGCCTAAAAAAGGTATTGTTAAAGCAGATGTCTCAGATCACCTATCTAAATTTTTTTTTTTTTTTAATTTTTTTTATTTTGTACAAATGCAAATTATATATTAAATCTCCTTAGTAAAACAACATAATAAAGCCTGTATACAATAACAATAATTTGAAAACATTTAAGAAACAAAATTTGAATCAAAACTAAAGCAACATTACGTTCAATGATGATACAAACCTGATCTACAATAATTTTTTTTTTTTGTATTTAACTTTATCCTATGACGCAATTTTTTTTAAATATTTAAACCAATCCTGTGGCTCAAACTTCCTGATTCGTGAAATAATTCTTAAGGCCAAGGACTTATCATGTCTTTGGATAACTAAAGGACTTAAAGAATAATCCAAAATAAAATTTCGAAAAATATAGGCCTTTTATACAAAGCAAAACAGTTGCTGAAACAAACTTGTTTGAAACTTATTTACTTTTCTTTTATTCATTGCTATCTAAATTACGCTAACGTTGCTTGGTGCAGCACCAATGTATCTAAAAATAAAGGGCTTCTAATTAAACAAAAACACGCTCTAAGAATTATTGGAAATGTGAATCGCTTTTCGCACACTAAATTACTTTTTAATAAATTCAAAATACTTAACGTATTTCAACTTAACCTATATCATGTTTTTATATTTATGTTCAAAGTAGATAATAAAATGGCACCCATTTTATTTAATTCATTTTTCGAAAAAATAAATCATTTATACCCAACAAGGTTTTCAAACAACAATTATATTCAACCAAAAAAATATTATTCTGCGACTAGGTTCTCGATAACAATCAGAGGACCTAAATTATGGAACACCCTATTGGATAATGAGTTCAAAAACTTTAGCTGTTCCAACACTAACGTATGGTCTTGAGCTGTGTGAACATAAAAAAATTAATGCACAAGCTTGATAGTTGGAATACTATAGTTGGGAGAAATGCACTTAAGTCACGCCTCGATGTTTCAAAACATTGCAAAAATTATGTTTACACCTTATTTTTTATTGAAAATATATAAATTATTATACAACAAAACAAGCTAAACTTATTTATTCGTTTGATGAACAATAAAATGACATATGATATTATTAGGTCGCAGCTGAAAAACAAAACAGCCCCACAACATTTTTTAGATAGTATCAAAGGGTTGTGCAATAATCATGAACTAAATTTAGAGACAATAATGGAAAGTAAAAAAAAACTAAAAATTGTCGGCCTCAAAAATTTAATTCCTGAAACGGATCTTTAATCTCTAAAATGTGCAGTTGAGTACTGGAACTTAAAAGAGCAGAGAACTATCTTCTTGAAAAACTTCTGAGTCGGATTATTTTGAATAATGGTGTTTAAAAGATAGAAATATAAACCTATTATATAATAAAACAGCCAATATAATTCTGAACAATCACCTAAAACTGATTCTTTAATAGGACTATTTGCTAGTTTCAGTGAATGAAATAAATTTTTCGTCGTCAATTTTAAATTCTCGGCAGCTTTCATTATATATAAAGACTAAAAATTTTTAATAATTTGTTTTTAAAATGTTTGAACTATGAACAAAAAAATTTTTTAGACTAAAACTACTATATAATTTTTTAATTATGTTAAATATATTTCATTATAAAAAATAACTACTAAAGTCTCTATTGTTTTCTTTTTAGCTGCATAACATATGTTGTCTCGTTTTACCACTTTAAAAATGATTTTAAAAGTTAACTCATTTTAAAAAAAACTACCCTAAATAGACTTTATTGTACACTTATATAGTTAATTACTTATTTTTAGGTTTATATACATAGTTTTTAAGCCTTAAGTGTCTCGTACTACCCCGAATCACCCTTGATAATAGCAATTTGGGTTAAACATTCTCTCCCATTTATATTTTATAATATAAACTTTCGACTCAAAACGGCATTCTCTCAACCAATTTTTTACCATTTTGAATTATCTTTAAAAAAAAACTTTGAAATAATTTTCCTTTTTTTTAATTCAACCAATTCAACCTCCTTATTAGAGGTGGAGTTTTTTGTACATCATCTAGATGTACAAAAAACTCCACCTCTGTATTTCGAAACGTTTTTGATTTGCTAATTACAGCGTAAATGCTTTTTTATTTTTCGTTTTATTTTTCGGCGGACTGAAAAACAGTGTTTTAAAACCAAAATTGAAAATTTAAATAAAAAATCCATTGTGTTATGAGGGTTTTTTTTATTGCAGCCAATTGTTGAGTTTTTTGATCAAGAATTCTGGAACTTAACTTTTTTGGTAGACTTCCATCTCAACAATGTATTTTTTTTTTTTTTAGGTGCTCCCAGAAGTTCTTACGGTTTTATCACGGAGCACCGCGGGAGACCATTTAACTAGTGGTTCACGCCTTTTTCCTTACCAATGTTGCTTAGCAGGCTAGAGCAGGCGTCGAACCTTGGACCTATGGGTCCTGAGCCAGAACTCTAACCACTGCGTCACGGTTGCTCAACATTTTCAATCAACATTTCAGAAAATTAAAACAACATCAACATCAATATTTCAAAAAATTAATTCGATAAACTTTAAAAAAAATATTTTCTAAAAACTATTTATTGAACAAATTAGGTTTATTAGAATCAAAAATATTATTTTAATTAAGTTAGAAAATTCGTTGAATGCTGAAAGTTCGTTGAATGCTGTACAGTACTTCGTTCTTCTTATTAGTTGTTTAAAATGCTCCAAGAAAACTTAATGGCCTTATTACGGAGCACCGCGGTTAAATACTATTGTATTTAACCAGGGTGTTAACACCTCCTTCCTTACCAATGTTGCGAATACCACATTGCATATAGGGCCAGAGTCATATATTAGAGCAGCCGTGGGGCAGTGGTTAGAGTTCTGGCTCAGAACCCAGATGTTCGTGGTTCAACGTCGGCTCTAGCCCAATAAGCGACATTGGTAAATAAGAAGGCGTAAACTTCCAGTTAAATACTTTTCCGCGGTACTTCTGATAAGACCATGAGAACTTCTGGAAGCACCTAAAATGCAAATATATGCAATTAAAAAGTTGCATTTTTGACCAGAGCCATTCATTCAGTTCACTTCAGGAAAAAACCGTTTGATGAGAAGTTTATTTTGATGTTGTATTTTTGTGAAACTGTTTATAAATGGATATGAGACTTCATTTTTAATTATATCTTTTTTAATAGATAAGTTAAAATTATCTGTATTAATGATATTGTCTAATAAAGAAGTTAATGTTGTTCTAGTAAGCTCATTTTTTGAAGAGATCGTTCTATAATAACAATTTTTTAGAAAACATGAAGTTTCACAAAGGTATTCTGAAATACTGTTTATTTTACTACAAAATGAACAAATAATAAAATTGTAAAAATTGACCGATGATTAACTTTTGTTATCAATTCATTTTTAGTTTTTTTTATGGTTATTAATCAGGGCCGACGACAGCGGGAGCCCTGAGTAATAAACTTCTCTGAGCAATAAATTTCTCAGGGCCCCCGCTTTTTTTTATAAAGGACGTTTTTATCTTTTTTAAGAAAGTTCTAGATATAGAAGACTTTTTTTAAGAATTGACTATTGTGTACCCCCTTCTTTTTGACATGTTTTGGGAAGAGCCTCTGATTCACTAGCCGCAACACTGGTTGTAAGTTATATACTTTTTTAATACGTTTTTGCCTTGATAAAATATTATGAACCTGTAACTGAATTTATGAAATATACGTTCTTAAATGTAGTTTTTTTTTTTAATTATCAAACTAAAAAAATTTTTGTAAAACAAAAAATATTTTTCATAATTACTTTTATTAGTTTATGCCTATGTAAAAAGTATATAAAAATATGTTACAAATACTGATTATGTAATAAAGACTGACATTATTTTATTTTTATAAATATTGTTGTATTATTTTATTTGTAGGATTGTAGTTTTTACAAAAAATTATTTTAAAGTAACAAGTTAAAAATGTCTACTGCATAAAACTTAGTTTCAACTTATTATTGAATATATATATATATATATATATATATATATATATATATATATATATATATATATATATATATATATATATATATATATATATATATATATATATATATATATATATATATATATATATATATATATATATATATATAGTTATATGAATAAATTAATTTTCAGAAATGGAAAATAATAAAAGGTTTAATCTTCTAAAATGCCAGCTTGTACTTGCAATACATTACTGGCACTTAGAACATTGCAAAGTAAAAAGAAAAAAAGAAAACCCAAATTTTGGATACGCACATTACTTAGAAATCGTTGCGAAAAAGAAGTATTTCACACTAATTCCTGAGCTACGCCTTCATGACAGAGAATTCTTTTATAGATTTTACAGAATGACTCTTGAAAGGTATGAACACTTGCTGTCAGTAATTGCACCTTGCATAACAAAAAAAATCTTGCTAAAGCCGTCAAACTATATCACCTTCAGAACAATTGACTGTAACCCTGAGATATTTGGCTTCTGGGGATTCACAACAAGCACAATCTTTTTATTTTAGACTGGGCTGAACAACAGTATGCAACATAATCGATGAAACAACAAAGGCTATTTGGGATGTTTTGCAACCAAGTTATTTAAAGGCACTAAAAAGTTCAGATGAGTAGTAAAAAATAGCAAACAAATTTGAAAATGATTTCTGTCGGTTCTTCCCAAGAACCGACAGCTATTAAATTTTTTTTTTTTAACATGTTTATTTTACAACTACAAAGTATTTACAATTGACCAATCACCGATTGGCGAATAAAGATATACAAATATAAATATCGTAAACATAAAGTCAAAAATAAATAAGGAATAAATCTAAAATATTGTTATATTCAACTTTGAGACATGATAAAAATAAATACAAAGTACACAATAGATTAACGTGAACGTAAAAATTACCCAAGAAATAAACCTTCTATATTCTTTCCATTAAAATAGAATATATATATACATATATATATATATATATATATATATATATATATATATATATATATATTATGTGGGTACTGCCCCATGCTATATTGATATACATAAGATAGCTATGTATGAATGAAAAATAAACGAGTATTAGACTTTTTTGTGTCAAGAAAGATCTTGCCTTATAGAGTAAACCTATGTTCTTTGAAATTTTTCTATTTATATAGTTGATGTGGGGCTTCCAAGAGATGTGTTCATTAATTAGAACACCTAAAAACTTTGTATTTTGAGCTCTTTTGATGATTATATTTTCTATATTAATTGTTGGTAGGTTAAGGGGAAGCTTTTTAATTTTTTGAGTAGAGTGGAATAGAATATATTTAGTTTTATATTGAGTGATAGTTTGTTTGATTTAAACCATATATTAATTTTTTTTAGTTCATTATTTGTTTTTTTAAATAAGTCTTCAATAGTCATTGATGAGTAAAATAAGTTTGCATCATCGGCAAACATTATAGTTTTGAAATTATTAGAGGCATTTGGGAGATCGCTTATGTAAATAAGAAACAAAAGAGGGGCAAGAATGGACCCTTAGGGTACACCACATTTTAATTTCAGTAAATTCGAGTTGCCTTTTTTATCTATAATAACACACTGGTGTCTGTCATTAAGGTAGTTTTTAAACCAAGTTAAAGCTTTATTTTTAACGCAATAATTTTCCATTTTTGTCAGTGAAATCTCATGGTTGACAGTATCAAACGCCTTTGACAAATCAATAAAGATTCCTAACGTGAATTTTTTTTGTTTAAATGATTTACTAATCCTATTTGAGAGATCAAGGGTTGTATGCGATCCTTGATGAATGGCACACAAGTACCACCAGTGCTAGTTGGTGATGATATTTTTGCGATAAAACCTTGGTTAATGAAACCTTTTTTTGGTAAAAACTTAACAATCAAAGAACGTATTTTCAACTATTGATTATCTAGGACAATTGAAAACTCCTTTGGAATTATGGTAGCTAAATGGAGAATATTTAGACGTCCAATAAAAGCAACCCCTAAAAATATTGAAAACATCATAAAAGCTACAATTTGATTTCTTAATTACATGAAACTCAATGACAGCATTCACTATGTACCATCTGGATTTGCTGATTAAGAAACAAATTATGGCGAACTTGTTACTGGAGACTGGAGAAAAATTGTGCTTGAAGGTAATGCTTGAAACATTTTACCTCGATGCATAAGCAATCGATACACAACATGCTAGCATTGTGAGAATAACGCTAACAGAATATTTTAATCATCCAAGTAGATCCTTGTCATGGCAACATAAATATGTAACTAGTTGTGGGCACAATATTACAGAAAATCAAATTTTTTTCCAATAGTGAAAAAAACACATCCATTCTTCTGCTTTAATAATATATTGTTGTATTAATATAATAAATTACTATTTAAAAATTACATATAACAAAATGTTGAAAGTTTTTAAAAGAATGTTAACAAATTATATTTCATGAAACAATATCTGGAAATTCCAGAGCAGCTAAATATTGCTGAATGTTTATTTTAGAAACTGCTTGAGTAGTAGAGAGAGGAGAGTTCTAGCTCATTTTCATTTTCAACCATATTTTCAACCATATATTTAAATAAATATAGGGTTCAATGTTATCCCTATTGTGTATAAATTATTTAGATAAGAAATAATTTTTTATTTTAAAAAAATTCAATTTTTTAAAATAAGCGTTAATTTTTATTTCTTGTCGAAAAATGCCACGTGATTTTCTTGCTGTGACATCACATGACTTTTTCTAATAAAAAATATTATTTTCTGTTTTTAACTTTTCTTCTTCTAATCTTTCCTTTTCTAACTTTTCAGCTTGTAATTTAAATTGTTTTTGCAAATAACGAGCTAAACTTAATCTTCTTTTATAACTTGTTAATTTAATATCTACATCTTTACTTGCACAATCCATTTCTTATAATTTATGTAAAGAAATTTATTTTCATTTTTTTTTCTTGTGAGCTAATTGATCTTTCAGATCTGTGCGCATGCGTTATTTTTAATGAAATCTGGATCTCTTTGAGATCTATGCGTAGTAGAAGCATTGCTTAACTTTATCACTACTAGAATTTATAGTCACTACGTGTATCAAAAGTAATAATATATTTATTTCTCACAGCTAAATTAAATGCCCATTCTGAACCTTTATACCCTAATTCATACAAATATTTAATTATTTCAAGGTTACTACCTGTACCTTTATGCCCTAATTCATGTGAAATCTGGTTATTTACTGCACAATTAAATGCATATTCATTTCCTTTATAACCTAATTCATGTAAATATTTAATAATTTCAAGATTTCCAATTGCAACAGCAGAATATAATGTATATTCTGTACCTTTATACCCAAATTCATGCAAGTATTTTAATATTTCAAGGTTTCCTTTTTCTGCAACACAATGAATTGTCCATTCTGTTCCTCTATAACCTAACGAATGTAAATATTTTAATATTTCAAGTTGACCTTCTTTTGCAGCATTATCTATTGCATCTTCTATACCTTTATAACCTAACGAATGTAAATATTTAAGTACTTCTTCTGTACTTTTTTTACCTAATTGAATTAATAATTTAAATAAATCAATTCTTCCTATACTTTCAGCAAAATCAACTTTATTACCTTGTTTATACCCATAGTTTTTTAATATTGTAGTAATATAATATATTTGAGTTGAAGGTTTTATTAAAAATTTATTATTCTCAATATTATTTTCTTGATTCATTCTTTTTTATATACACAAGAAAATTATTTAACTCATTTTCAATTTTTTACTTTTTTTACAAAAATAAAATAAAATATTTAATTCTGTGTACTTTCATCATCTTCATCATCTTCATCATCAACATATTCAGTAGTTTCTGTAATTTCAGTAACTTCAGTAGTAGTAACTGTAGTAACTTCAGAATCTTCATCATCTTCTTCAGTCATTTCAATATCATTATCATATTCAATAGTTTCTGTAATTTCAGTAACTTCAGTAGTAGTAACTGTAGTAACTTCAGAATCTTCAGTCATTTCAATATCATGAGTATCAATAATATTTAATTTTTCTTCTATTAATCTTAATCTTTCATCTATTAATTTTAATAATTCTTCAAGTTTATTTTCCATTCTTTTTATTATGTAAAGAAAATTAATTTAACTCATTTTCAATTTTTTGATTTAAAATATTTTATCAAATAATAAAAATAAAAATGAATGATGATGAGATTAATGAAATATCTGAATTTCAAAAAGAATTTAAACTTTTTGAAGAAATATTAAAATTTGAATTTGAAGAATCAGATTCTGAAGATGACACTTATTATACATCTGATGAAGCTACTTATTTTACATCTGATGATGAAGATGAAGTTAAAGAAAAACATATAGTTCTAATTCCTTTAAAAACAGTTCAAATCATGGAACTGAATAAAGATAAGCTGAAATGGATTAATTATGTTCCAACTTATAATGTTATTAATGATGATTATCCTGCTATAGATAATACTTCTTTTAAAAAACATTACAAAAAAAGAAAATTTAGTTTTGAAAAACCATTTAATGTAGATATTAATTTTACTGAAGATGGAAAACCTTCAACAATTCATTTTGTAGAGAAACTACCCATTTTCTGTAAAAATATTTTAAATGATAATTTCTGCCCTTTTGGAAGAAAATGTAAATACAATCATGATATTCCTTATTGTAATACTGTAAAGAAAAGACTAATATGCACTAAATCTTCATGTCAATATAGACATATTCATATTTGCTATGATTATCCTAAATGTAGGAATAAAGAGTGTGTATTATTTCATCCTAAAAAGTCAGAATTATCTAAATTAAGAAAAGCTAAAACTAAATTATGCAAATATATTCTTGATAAAAAAGAATGTAAAAATATAAATTGCAAATATGCTTATTCTAAAAAAAATATTGAAGAAAATGTAGAAATTTGTCATTATACTCCATGTAAATTAGTAGAGAGTAAATTAAAGAAAATTAAAAAAAGAGAAATAGAAACAATATATAAAAATAACAGTGATAAAACATGTTATTTTTTACATCAAGGTAAAAGTATTTTAAATTATATTGTTAGAACTTTAAAAAAATGAAAAAATATAATACTTTTAAAGTATTATATTTATAGTGATCTAAAAAAATCTTTACATTTAAAAAATGTATAAGAGAAGAATGTTTTTAGATTATGAAAAGCATGAAAAATATACAATAACTTTTAATATTAATTCAGATTTAGAACATAGAGCAATAAATGATAGACATATTAAAGTATTTGCACAAGAAAATTTTACAGTAAAATCAAATTCATATAATAGTATTTCTTTAATGTGTGGAGTCAAAATAGATAAAGGACATATATTGATTTCACTTGCAGAAAATTATAAACCATCACTAAATTTACTAAATTCTGTTGTAATAGAGTCTACTGATGATATTAAAATAACTTTATATAATAACGATAAAAAAGATATAAACATTAAAAAAAAGAGATTTGTTATGCTGTATTTCATCTTATAATGGTGTTTTTAATGCAAATTATATATCAGAACTTGATAAAAAAGTAGAACAAGTTAGATCACAAAGGGACTCAGGAACTAAATCAAAAAGTGATAAAGAATCTGTAAAATCTTTATTATCAAGTATAGGGGGAATAATTAAAGAAACTATATGTGATGAAGATAAACCTAGTATAGATAAATCTGACAATGCTCTATTTGATTTTGGTAAAAAGTGATTTAAAACAAATTTTTCTTTATAGAAAAAAGAAATGCAATGTAATAATGAATGTAAACAGCTTTATCCAGATCTTAACCAGTTTTCAGAAAATCCATCTGCACCACCACTATCTGATCAGAATTTTAGATTAGTTAAAATAAATGAAATTCAAAATAAGATAGAATGTGAAAGAATTAGAAGAGAGATCTTAAGTAAGAAATATCACAAAGCTTTAAGAATAGTTTCAGCTATTGATAATTCATTACTAGCTAGTACAATGACACTTGGAGCTGGGGGTATTGGCTTTTTAACAACAATAGTTGGATCATCAGTAGCTATTGGATGTGAAATTGCAGCATTAGGACTAGGTGTATTATCGTTAATAGGATCACAAGCTATTAAAAAATTAACAATAAAAGCAGAAAAGCATGAAAAGATTAAAGTACTAGCTGATGCAAAACTAAATACAATAAGTAGTCTTATTTCTAAAGCTATATCAGATCAATATATTGATGATGTAGAATTTAATATGATACTTTTAGAACCTGAAAAGTTTCAAGCTAAGACTGAACAAATTAGAACAAAACCTAAGAAAGATATAGATGAGCAGACTAAAGAGTCAATATTTAATAAAGGAGTAGAAAAAAGAACAAATGATATTATAGAAGCGCTAAATATGAAATTTAATAAGAATCAAAGTATAGGAGTGATAAATAATACTCTTAAAAATTAAAACATATATTATGAATTACTTGAACATAATATATGTTGATTTAAAAAAATTATTGCTTATATAAAAATGTATGCAAAAGCTACAGATATTGATACAAGATTAAAAATAGCAAAAGAACTTGCTAGTTTAAAGAAAAGTATATATCAAGATGATGTAAATGAAAAGTTAGGTTATGATGCTTTACAGACTAACTTGGAAAAATTGTACAAACCAATAATTGATAGTCAATCTGGAATAAAAGAAGGTATATCTAAATTAGAAAATAAAGCTGATCAAATAGCTAATACTTTTTCAAATTATCCTGCTTTACTAGATTCTGAAACTAAAGCAATCATGCCACCTGAAGTTGTAGATAAAATGTCGTTAGGACCTATCGCAACAGAACATTTAAAGTTATATACTACTAAAAATAGTAAAAAAGTATCAGATGACATATTTGGTATACATTACAATGAAGGTAATGAAAAGTTTTACATTGGTAAAAAACCAATAACTATTGAAGGTAATGATATAACTATTGAAGGTAAAAAATACACTGGTACACCTGGTCTTTGGGAAATCATAGTAAAATCTCATCCTGTTAAATATACTAACAATGATCGTAATAAGTATAAAGAAATTTTAGATCAAACAGATGCAATTCGCTCTGATTTAAATTCAGCTAAACCGAGATCATCTAAAAGTTATAAGTACACTAATGTAATAAAACCTATTTGGGAAGAGATGATCGGAAAGTCTGGAAAAGGAGTTGTCATTCTTCCTAGTGATCCAAATGCACTATTTGAGATGCTTAAATTACGCTTAGCTGGTTTACAAGCAGGAAATACTGGAACAAGAAATGAGATTGTTGCTATTTGTGATGAGTTGTTACGACAGGGTCAAATAGATGATGATGACTATAAAGCATTACAGAAAGCAATAACTTAAAATGAATTAAAAAAATTATTTTATATATAAAAATGACAAAATATTATGATACTCTTATTAATCTTTCAGATAGTCAGAAAGAAAAAATTAAAAAAGCAATTGAATCTGATACTAATGCTAGTATAAAACTATCATATGAAGATTTAAATGGTGAACACAAAATAGCTTTAACAGAGTCACAAAGAAACAGAATGAAAGCAGCCTATTTAAAAAATAAGGGTATAACACTTTCACTGAGTAGAGCACAACTTAAACATAATGCTAAAAAAAATGGTGGATTTCTACCTCTACTAGGATAAATTGGAAGTGTAATTGCATCAAAAGTTGTTCCGGCTATAGCAACAGGATTATTGACTGGAACAGCTGCAGCTGCTGGAAGTACTATAGTTAATAAAATTGCTGGAAATGGTATTGTTTTTGTGAAAAAGAATGGTAGTGGATTTAAAATTAGAAAAGTAGGAAAAGGAGTATTTTTAAACCCATGGAATAGTAGTTATAATTATTCAGATGGATATTATTCTAAAAATGGAAATGAATATTCATCAGTAGGTAGAGGAATGTTATTAGGAGAAAATTCTCCATTTAAGAATATACCCTTATTAGGTCTTCTTTTTTAGATCACTTCGTGATCCAGGCTTCGCTAAGTTCTGAAAGAACCAATGCTTTGCTAAGTCTTCATAAAAAAATATATATTTTTAAAAAATATATATATTTATCGATTCCACAATGAAGTTGGATAATAAAATAAATCTAATCCACTTCTATACTTTCCATTTAATAAATCAGAAGACAAATCTATAACAACAAATCCATGCTTTTTTGACCAAGCTTCATTACAAAACTTTTTAAACTCATCTAATTTCATATCATTTGAAACATGGTCATTATAAATATGATTTACATTTTTAGAATCTTGTTTAAACAAGCATATAAAACTTGCATTTTCTCTTATCGTTCTCCTAGGCAACTCAAAATAATTTTGTGCCAAGTAGAAACAATCTACATTGCTATGTCTTCCTCTTATATAGTACTTTTCACACTTGTTTTGTTTTGTTAATTGTAAATCATCAAATATCATTAAATTATTTTTAATAGAGTTAAGACTTTCAGGTTCTGGAACATTCTCTGCTGTTTCAAAAAATTGACACTCTATATCTGTTTTATCTTTTAAATCTCTTGAAATGTTTTTAATAATAAACTCTGGACTTACATTGTTTTTATTTATTTGATCTTGCAACTCAAATAGTTTAAGAAT